GAAAGGATTTCAAAGAACACTCTTCACGCATCCTGTCCTCCACCCTCCATGACATTTCCTCCGGTCAGAACCAATGCATGTGTTAATATTAATAGCAGTGAATGAGCCCACATTTGTAGTGGCTTTCTTCTGTAAGTTAGAAAAAGGTTAAGTAATTTCCAATTAACATTGCTAAACTGATATATATAAAAGAGGTTCTCAAGAAGTGACAACATTGGTAAAATTTCTAGATATATCTTATAAACTATAAAAAATTGAGTTCAATTTCTGCTTGTTGCTTCTAAGAAATTACTTAATTCAATATTAATGAAATAATTCTCAACAGCAGCATTTTAAATATATATTGTATAATGGTTTACAAGTCATTTATTTTCGTTATCTTAAAAATCTATCATTGGTCATTGTTTTTACAAATAACATGCAAATAAGAAAGTTAGAACCACAAGAAAAAGAGATGAAAGAGATATCAAAACAGAAATATCAAGAAATACCAAACACTTTGGGACAAAATTATTTACTGTAAATAACCTAAGCTATTTGGTGAAGATTCCAGCTGGCTTGTTCATTCATTAATTAAACAAATATTTATTGAGGTAGATTCTGAGTAGTTAGGTCACTTATTTTTTTTATCCACAGAGTCTAACATAGACCTGGGTCATATTAAGTGCTCAATAAATATTTCTAAATAACAGGCTTCTAGCATATACTGAAATAAATAATGAAAAGCCACATTTTTATATTATTTTTCTCATCAATCACTATCATTATTATAAATCATGCTTTTTTGCCATCTGAAAGTCTGTCTTTATTTTGAAATAGCATAAAAATATGAAATGGATAGAGAATAATTTATGATAAAAGCAAACTACAATAAATAAGGTAATTATTAAGAAGACATAATCGTTCATTCAACAAAAATTTTCACTATCTTTAAGTAATCAATTTCCATAATAAATTCTTACTTGAAAATCACCAAGAAGTTGAAAGTAGCATAAATTAAAATATGCAACTTTTCAATAACATAGTTACTGTTCTGTATTTTTTCTGCGTTGTAAAATAGAAGTTAGATGATATTCTTAGAGTCATAAAGGAACTCAACTGTGTCTGCCACGTTGACTATTAAAAAGTTGAAGGCTATAGTTAACTTAAGCCACAGTATTTTTAATATATAATTTATCAATTCTATTAAGTTATTTCAGAAAATATGCATTGAGTACATGTATTCTAGTTATTACACTAACTAATTGCTCCTCACATCGTGTCTTTATCTTCCCTCATTCCCACATTGAACCTTACAATTTCAATAAAATCTTACAATTTTGATAGTAATATCTTATGGCTTTGAGGTTAACAGTGGTAGCATTAATATTAATACAACCAAAAAAATCCATCTATCTAAACTAGGCCACCTGCCTTATTCAAAAGTCATTTTATTACAAGTTGTTATATTTTTAAGAGTATAGTTAATCAAAATTTAAATATGATTACATTTTCAAGTAAAATCCAACATAATCATTCTACAAAAATGGGATGATAAACCAGTCAACTATTCAAATCTTCATTGAAATAATATGCCAGATTTTTTAAATGATCTAATTGAAATTGCATTATACATTTCAGCAATAATGGAGTACCTTTTAATGAATGCAATCAAATCTCCAATGTATTAGCTCACTCTATAAATTAGGGATAAAAATAAGATTTCTAAATATGATCAGTACATAGATTATATTTTGCTGATTTTGAAGGATTACATAACTTTGCTGACAGTTTAATGGATAACTGAAAAGTCTAACTTTTATAGAGAAAACATAATATCTATTATATCAATTAGGTTAATTTTAAGTCAGTTATATTCATAAACCAAAATAAAACAAGAGTAATAATCTAAAATCCTATATATCTTATTTTCCTTTTAGATTCCAAACCTGAAATAAGTAGAATTTATTTAGGAAAATCAAATGAATTCAAAGGTATCTAAGAGATTTGATAAAACAACCATTGAATATTCCTAATCTTTTTTTTTTTGAGTTGGAGTCTCACTCTGTCACCCATACTGGAGTGCAGTGGCCGCTCCCAGCCATTGCAGCCTCGACTTGCTGGGCTCCAGTGATCCTTCCGCCTCAGCCTTCCAAGTAGCCAGAACTATAGGTGTGCGCTACCACGCCTGGCTAATTTTTTTGATTTATTTTAGTGATGAGGTCTCACCGAGTTGCCCAGGCGGGTCTCAAACCCACAGGCTCAGGCAATTCACTCACCTCAGCCTCCCAAAGCACAGGATTACAGGCTGAGCCACCGAGCCCTGACAAATATTCCCAATCTTAAGTACTAATACTAAGACTAGTTCTGCTGCTATCATCCACAGGCATCATAATGTATCCCTGTACACTTTCTTTTTGTTCACTTCCTTTCCTTTTTTCTTTTAATTTTTTATTCCTTTTTGTCTCATTCTTGTGATAATTTTGATTATATGTTTAAAACATGGAAAAAATGAGTGATTTTTCTCCAAATAAACAACTTATTAAGTCACTAGTCATTAATGGCTGACAACCTCTTATAGGCAACGAGAGAAAAAAAAGTTTTATTTGACCATATCTGGACTAAGACTGGGTCGTGGTAGTTGATCAGGAGTGGGTAAGACTGACAAACAACAGCTTTTGGGAAGGTCAGGAGGCTAGTATCCATGTTCCAGTGAAGGATATGCTTTAGGAGCAAGAGGGATTTGGAAGAGAGCAAATCCACGAGAAAGGGTGTGTCATGACAAGCACTGAATCCAAAGAGAATGGCCAGGCTAGACCAAGAAGAGAGATTCAGAAAGAAGGAGGTCCTCATAGGGCAGCTATGGGAAGGAGATGTAGAGGGTATTGAGCTAGTATGGATACCTAGAAATTCTTTAGTTATGAAAAAACCCTCAGCCCACATTTGGCCAGAATTGAAAAGAAATACCTATTCTTATAGACAAAAACCCTCTGACCATAAAATAACCCACAGTGGTGCAAGTAATTCAGTAACATAGCCCTTTATGATTTGAGAATGATCACTGCAGAAACTTTTCTCAGGCTAAAAGTGCAATTGGTTATGGATCAATAAGTAATTTCTTTTGGAAGGAAAAGGTGCTTGTTTTCATTTTTATTTATTTATTTTTTGAAGTAGCAAGGCTCTTAAATCAGAACTGAGCAAATATATTTTGAAAGTTGAGATTACTCTAACAGCAAGATTCTTTTTTTTAAAAAAAGAATTTATTTTATTATAGAAATGTGTGGTACAAATGAGAATTAACTACATAAGTAGCCTGCATGCAGGTGATGTTTGGGCTTCTAACTAGTCCTCACTCCCCCTAGTAATGAACAGATTATGCTTCATCTTGTCATGTGTCCCTACCCTTCTCCCTCCCTCCCCTACAATGTCCAGTGACTGTGAATCCCTCCCTCATGCTAACGAACAGCAAGATTCTTTACTGCACTAGTTAAGTTTATCTCAACTGAACATTTGTTTATGCCAGAAAAATCCAGATGCTTTTAATTCTGATTTTTTGATATATGCTGAAAAGCAGCTGAAATTTCATCCCCTGGATTCCGATTTTGACAAATACATTTTAAGTTGATAATATACTATGGTTCAATAATGGTTGTGCTGAGGGTTTTGTTGTTGTTGTTGTCGTTGTTTTGCTTTGTTTTCCAAGATTAGCAATGAATTCAGGTCTTGAGGTCACTGTAAACTCCTACTCAGGTTATTGTAAATTCCATATATTTAGTGAAAAATAAAGATTACAAAATAAATTAATACAAACTTAGATAATAAAAACCTCATAAAAATTTGTGTTAATGTCTTTTGGTGTTTGGTGAGGTTTTTTTCTAATTATTTTAGAACTTGTACTTAATGGCCACTTTCTAACAGGAAACAAACATAACGACCTAATCAACTGTCTTTTGAGGCATGAGTATGGATAAGGGAAAAACTTATATAGATAGACAAAATAAAACAAAACAATCTCACATTATGCAGGACAGATCAACTATATCAAGGATAAAAAAGAATGGAGAGACATATATGCTTCTTCTGAAAACTTCCAGAAGTTAAAGACGTTAGACCAAGAGCTATCAAGATAAGAATTCTTCAGAATTTTTGAATATGTGACACTCTTCTATGTTTGTTATTTTGATATATCAAAGAAATATAAATATATTTTAACAACAAATATGATGTGCTTCTTTACAAATATACAAAGAAGTAAGAAGATAAAGATTCATAATCATACAGGTTAGTAATTCTTTAAATGCAGAGATAGAAGGAAGAGTCTCTGAGCTGTAAAGTCAATGATGGGAACTTCAAAAAAAAAAAAGAGAAAGCTTTTCAATCTTTTCATGAACTATTCTTTGACATCTACTATGTGCTAAGTAAATTACTGTGGGAGGCTTAGAACCTAGAGGAAACATAATGGTTCCAGAACAAAAGTAGAACTTATGCATCAATTTTTTTTCCTGACACATATGTATCAACTGCATAGAAACAATATTTTTTGCCATTTTCTTTTACATCCCTAACTATCCTTAAAGTTTCATTTATTTCTTTTCATTTCATACAACTTTACACAAGTCTTTTCTCTGAGAAAAGAAATAGGACACTGACTCCAAATCTTTGGATGTCTCCAGTATTATTACCTCCTGCTTCCAGCCAAATAGTGTGGAATCTACTGTGCAATAACTTATTTATTGGCAAGTCTGACCAAAGACACCTAAATCACTCTAAAAAACGTTTTTTGAACTCAGAATTGAGAGGAATTCACACTCAAAAATTTAAAAAATGTAAAAGTTTTTATTGTAAAGAACACACTTAATAGTAACAGGTTATAAAGTCTTTTTACCTCTATGTATTTATGTTTTCTATAATAAGTACCGGTTCTTGGGAGAAGGTAACTTTCAACAGGAGAAATTATACATTATTTACAAAATGCTAACAGTAAAAAGTAAATGCTAAAACTTAACTTTAAAAGTACTTACTATATGCAGTTCTAGGTAGTCACCCAAGCCTGAAGAACTGTCCACTCGCACCAATACAGCTTCTTTCTGAACAGTGCTAAACCCTATAGCCAGTCTGTCTGCTCGTGTACTGGGTCGGTCATTAGGAGGCCACTTGTACGTGATTTGTCCGCCACCTTTGCTAAAGATATACGTTGTCCCAGCTGAAAAATAGAAACAAAAACCAATTAGACTAAATACATTAAGTCCATACTTTTAGCAGTTTGTTATGTTGATATTTGAGTAAAGCATTGACATTATACACAAAACTGTAACAAAGCACTTTATAGATTTCAATCAAACATGTTCAAGAAAGTGAATCGAGTTGTTTTAAAAAAAATAGAGAGGCAGCTCAGTTTTTAATACACTCATTAAATTTACCAGCAGGTATTTCAGAACAAAGAGTAGATTACTACTTTTGTCATTGAGTTGGACAAGCAAGGAATGTAACGAGGCTTTATTTCTTTCTGCCAGTTTTTAAGAAATAGTTTAGTAGAAAATATAGACTGGATGCTTCCAAAAAGCAACAGAAACATATATCAACTTGGTTTTGAAACAAGAGCTGCATGTAGATGTGACAAGGTCATACAGCCCAGTGGTACAAATTGCAACAAATACTCCAAGAATCCAACTTTTATAAGAAAAGAATCTATTCATAAGTGACAGGTAACTAACTGGTGAACAGTCACAAGCCCCAGTAGCCATGTCAAAAAAATAAAGATAATAGTCTCCTTCATAGGAGTCAGATCTCATTTAACAAGCAACAGCGAATAGCTGTTAAACTATTCAGAATTATAAAAAGACACACCTCTCCTCAACCCCAAAGTGAAATTCTAAACTTACAGCACTGACAATGTCATGGTCTCATTCTGTGAATGTTAACATTTTACTTTCTGGTGGTGATGGTACATTATCCATCTATCTTAATTTTAAAAGAGTTGTTTCAAACAAATTTATTCGGCATCCAGTGCACTGAAATTTGACCTCGTACCACTGGCATCTTTTTCATTGAATGAAACAAATTTTTTACATCAGAAATTTTAAAAGAGATATGTAAAGATTTATATAAAGGAGAAGAGAGCATTCTCCACACTAAAGGGGACCACAAAAAATGCTTATTTAGTTAGCCTAGACAGATCTTAGAGAGAATTTGGAGAGAGGAGTGTATCAGTGAGGGTGCTTCTGGGAGAGATTAGCATTTGAACTGGTGGCCAGAATAATGCAGATTGTTCTACCCAAAATGAGTAGCCATCATTCAATCCTTTGAGGATAGAATAAAAATGTGAAGAAAGGTTGGATTTTTTTTCTTTCTCTACCTGACTGCTTAAAATGGAGTGGTGTTCTGCCTTTGTAGCTTCTTAGTCTCATATCTTCAGACCTGGATTAAAACTACACCAATGTTCCTTTGGTTCTCAAGTCTTCAAACTGTATCACCAGCTTTCCTGGTTCTTCAGCTTGTGGACAGAATATCACGTGTACACATACACATACGTATAAATATATATGTATATTATATTTCTGTTTCTCTAAAGAATGTAATACACTTAATCTGTGCCAAACATGATAAGAAAAGCAGTAAGAGAGAATATTAAACATTAGGCCACATAGTATCCTATGTTTATGGAAGAATAACTTCTACTAAGAGTAACATTTATGTTTAAAAGCTATGTGTACAGCGGTGTTTTCAAAATACCTTCACATTAAATTTCTATGATTACCAAATTTATCAGTTCAATGCAGCTGACTTACTATCACATTAGTGTGCATTAAATTAAGCAGCTGATAATATTGAATTCATGGCCATATTTTGGAGGCAACCATTCTTTGTTTTCTGTCACAGACATTTCCATAAGCCACTGAGAAACTTCAAAGACCTCTGCAATAAGCACATTGTACCTGATGGCTAAAAGGCCTTGGTATATAGACTTATCACAAGGAACATGTCAGGAGAGGATTGAATGTAAAAGTGATGAACCATAATGTTAAAATGCAATAGTATAGAGACTGCTGTGCATTTCTCTATTAATTTTTTCACTACCAAAGCATGAAAATAGTTTATCTCTCTTAATTGAGAACGGTAATTGTATTTCAAAGGCACCAGTCAGTGCAAAAGCAAAGAAAATTCAGAATATACAGATTGTATACCAGATATTCTAGAGCTTTCCTGAGCCATTTATGTTTTAGATCACCAAAAGTTTATTCACCCTAATAGTAATCAGCAAGTACTATTTGAGGAATATATTTCTTATTGGTAATGTTTGCAGATGATTAAGTATTAACTTTTTCAGTAAAGTCTATGTTGATTAAAATAGGACAAGAACATATAAAAGCGGAGATTGCTTTAAAAGGAGAATGCAGTGGTTACCTCTGAGTGCTGATACTCAATTATTAATTTATGTTCCTTCTTTCAATTAATTTTGTTCTTGACTATGCATTTCAAGTTAAATAAGAAAAATATTCAAAAGTAGAGATGCTATTTAACAATATAAGATATAGAACCTAAGAATTCAGTTTCCAGAATTACCAGAGTGAGGTAGTATCATAAAGCAACATTAACTAACATTACATAGTAACTTTTTACCTTAAAAAATAACTTTCACAATTTTTTTTTATTTCTTCTCTACTTATATATGGAACATAGGGCAGACATTACTTCCTGTTATATTTGAGGAAGTTTAGTCATAAGGATTGACTTGTTATCTAAATTTGCTGGGTTAAAGTGGCAGAGCTGGTACAAAACTTGGTATCCAGCCTCCCATTCCATATATATTTTTTCAGAAATATATATATCAGAAATGCTTCTGTTATCATAGCAAGACAGTCAAGAAAAAGTTAATTGGATATGTCAGTCTGAATTTATCAAGGCCAACTGTTTTCATATCCTAATGTCTTATATCCATAAAGTGACATTTGCACCTCATTATCATATACTCTCCTTTCAGCTCACAACGCCATCAAAAGAGAAAAATAACATGCAAATGTGAAATGAGAGAACATTTAATATATGTGGGTTAACATTTTGTTAGAATATACTTTCCAAACTTATGGAACTTGGAAGGTTTCTAGTTGCTGAGTTATAGAATTTGAGGATAATAATTTAAAGATATATATTTTCAGTAAGATAAATGTCATAAAACAAACATTATTATTTATGTTTGATTTCATCTCATATTTTAACTTTTCTCCATAAATGTAAGTTTTGGTGACAAGCATGCGATTAGCTAATCTGTCCTGCTTATGACTTCACAGTTCTTTGGGTTTCAGCAAAGCAAAGTCAAACAACTTCAAGTACTGTCTGGCAAACATTCCAACTATGTCTAGTTTTTTTTCTTCCCAGATATAGTAGAAGAGCAGTCTTTCTTCCTTTCTCCTCTCTACCCACAGTAGTGTATTGCATTGCACTCATCAATATAATTCCAGAATAAATGAGATAATTAAATGCCCAGTTCTCTCTCAGCTCTATTCTATACACTTCTATAAGCATTCTGACTTCCTTCTTTAAAAAAAATTCACTTTGCATTAAACTTGACAAAATCTACTATATTTGTAAAGCCCTCTTTCCATTGAGTTAGAAAATTACTCTCATAATCGAATACGGTGGGTTAGATGACTAAAGTTTCAAAATCTACCTCATTTAACACACATCTCTCTGAACCAAAGATATGATGTACTTACTGCAGTAAAATAGTTTGGAAGTTAAGAATGTAAACTCACAAATTCCAACTGTATCATTTACTATCTATGTGACCTTGACTAAGCAATTTACTATAAGTCTCCACTTCCCTATCTGAAAAAATGGGAATAGCAATATTATTTTATAGAGCTTTTGTCAGGATTAAATGAGATATTGTACAGTAACATCTTAGTCCAGTTACTGCATTATGGTAAATGTCCAATAAATTTTAGAGAGAATAAGTGTTGTATATGAGGGTATGTGCATATTTTATATTTTTTATTTTATAAAAATATAAAATAACTAACATCGCACCACTTTTTAAAAACATAAAAGCCTTTAGAAAGGTTGGGTTTGTTTCAAATTTGTGTTCAAATCAAAAGCCTTTTTAAAAATGGTATCCCTACATTGTAATTTTTATTAAACTTTTCATATTTCATTCCTTGGATTAGCATTTTTTCACATAAACTCATTAAATATTATTTATGTTCACTAATAGTTGACAATGGGAAGGATATTAATTGTATCATGAGAGCTTTCATAATAAAAAGAGTAAGATTCTTCATTATAAAACAGATAGCATGGTGAAATTTTTAGCATGATGCAAAAAAAAAAAATACACTTGATCATAAATAAATGAGAAAGTTTACTCAAAGCGAACCACAAACTAGCTTTATGACTTTATTTTATTTTTACAGAAACATACTTTATTTTATTATATGAGTGAGTGAAATGTACAGTGGCAGTACATCTTAATCACAGTTCCAGTATGGAGAGGACTGTGGAGGAATGTGTCACTCTCATTATTTATGCATGTTTCTATATGGCTAGCACTAACACATCAGTGCCATGACTACTAATAGATTTATTGCAAATTAACCTTGACGCTCATCAGATAACTGAATGTATGAATGACTCAGTGGTTTTCAGCAATCTCCACATTTAAGTTGTGCAGCAAATCTATATTACTCACTCTAAATTCATTAACAAAGCTGGCTCTATTGGAAACAAATTTAGCAGTGCCAACATACTTTACACTGAAATAAATTTTTGTAAAACTTATGCATGGGCTCCCAGTTCTAATATTTGAATGGCCTGTGATGTTATAATAAAAAATATTTTTAGATCTTATTGAACACATTATGTACATAAAGGGTTATGTTTCCTCCTGCTCTTTCTTGCCATCCATCCCCTTCCTAAATGTGCCCACTTCAGCCCCGCTTTGCTTTTGCAAAGGCTAATATATTCTCTTAAATAGATTGAACCTTTCTGAAAAAGAAAGCCAATCAGTACGTACAGGACTACTCAAT